TGTCCAGTCTACCAGTAAGCTCATCAAACACATTTTTCATTTCCATCCCAGTGTTTTTGATCTCTGGTGTTTCCTTTTGGTTTTTTCTTAGAATGTGCATCTCTGTGCTTACATTGCCCATCTGTTCTTGCATGCTGTCTGTGTTATCCATAGAGCCCCCAGCATACTAATCATTTGTTTCCAATTCCCAGTCTGATAATTCCAACATCCCTGCCATAGCTATGTCTGGTTCTGATGCTTGCTCTGTCTCTTCACATTTGTGGGTTTTTAGTTTTAGTATGCCTTGTGACTTTTTCTTGACAGTGGCCATGATGTATTGGGTAAAAGGAACTGCTGTAAATTAGCTTTTAGTAATGTGGTGGTAAGGGGCTAGGGGAGGAGTCCTATGATTAAGTCTCAGTCTTACCTCCCTCCCACCCCTCAGGTGGGATAGGAAGGCTAGAGTGGGCTGGAGTTCGATATTTCCTTTCTCTCATGTGGAAGGCTAGAGGAGACTAGAGTTGAGTCTTTCCCTTCCCCCAAGTAGGTTAGGCTCTGATAAAACCCCAGCAGGTTTTTAAACTACTTAAGGCTACTTAAGGCTCTGCTTTAGTTTCTTTTGAGGCAGGCCTTGTTAAGAACAGAGTGCCCTGGTGCATTTCAAAATAGTTCTTTCTTTCTTCCCCTTGCCTGAAGCATAAGGGGAATTTACTCCAGCATTTCTTGTGAGAATCAAGTGTAACTCCTGGGAGTAAAACTCACAGAAGTGTGCCCCCTTCCCCCGTGACTCGGTTCCCCTGGACTTTTTGACTCTCAGACTTGTTGACACTGAGCCTCCAGTAATTGATCAGTTCCAGTTCCAGTTTTCCTACCCTGATACTGGTTCCTTCAGAGGTTTCTGCCTGCATTTCAGCCCAGGAAAGTTGTGATTCTTTGTATCTGCTTGTCTGTCTGTAATTTGGGGGACAGTGGTTTGCCTGTGACTTCGTTTCTCTTACAGATCTAAGAAGAGTTGATTTTTCAGTTTGTTCTACTTTTTCCTTGTGATGGAGAGGCAACCTCCAACCTTCTTATATGCTAGACTGGAAACCAGAAACTTCCCTGACCTTTTTATGGATGGAAATCTTTGTTTTCATGGTTCCTTCTGATCTTTGGATAGGGAAGAGAGATCAGAGAGGAGCAATAAGGGAGGTCACGTGTTGCTGCTGCAGGCTGAGAACAGCCTTGAGGAGTGCAGTGTCAGATCCCAGACCCTTAGGCTAAAAGTGCCTATCAGCTTGGAGAAGGAGCACCATGGAGATAGGTGGTCCTAAGATCCCTCAGGGCAGATTTTAAGCACAGCTTTTAAAAGAAATCCTGCCTTAATATGTTTCTTTGTTATTGTTATCAGAAAGAAGGCACACGTTCAGACTTTTAATAAGGTGAATGGTAGGTGAATCAAAACTGGAATTCTTTGATTTAATTATCTCCTTATGCCAATATTTAGGCTAAGATTGGTGTTAACTTTCCTCCAGATAGAGGTTTCCAGAATATATAAAATATGCCTTAAAATAATGCTTATTAAAGAATCCATGAGACTGGGTGCAGTGGCAGACGCCTGTAATCCCAGCACTTTGGGAGGCTGAAGCAGGAGGACCGCTTGAGCCCAGGTTCAAGACCAACCTGGGCAACATAGTGAGACCTCTCTCTACAAAAATTAAAAATAAAAAATTAGTCAGGCATAGTGGCGCATGTTGCAGGAAGTCAGGGACCCCGAACGGAGGGACCGGCTGAAGCCGCAGCAGAAGAACATATATTGTGAAGATTTCATGGACATTTATTAGTTCCCCAAATTAATACTTTTATAATTTCTTATGCCTATCTTTTCTACAGTCTCTGAACATAAATCGTGAAGATTTCGTGGACACTTATCACTTCCCCAGTCAATACACTTGTGATTTCCTATGCCTGTCTTTACTTTAATCTCTTAATCTCATCATATTCTTCATAAGCTGAGGAAGATGAATGTCGCCTCAGGACCCTGTGATGATTGTGTCAGCTGCACAAATTGTTTGTAGAACCTGTGTTTGAACAATATGAAATCTGAGCATCTTGAAAAAAGAACAGGATAACAGCAATGTTCAGGGAACATCAGAGATAAGACTTCTGGCTGCCAGTGGTGAGCTGGACGGAACAGAGCCATATTTCTCCTCTTTCAAAAGCAAATAGGGGAAATATCACTGAATTCTTCGTCTCAACAAGGAACATCCCTGAGAAAGAGAATGCGTCCTGAGGGCAGGCCTGTGAATGGCCCCCTTAGAAGCGTGCAGTCTTTTATGGTCGAAGCTGAAGGGATGAAATAAGCCCCGTCTCCTGTAGCGCTCCCAGGCTTATTAGGATGAGGAAAATTCCCGCCTAGTAAATTTTGGTCAGACAGGTTGTCTGCTCTCAAACCCTGTTTCCTGATGAGATATTACCAATGACAATGCATGCCCGAAACTTCATTAGCAATTTTAATTTTGCCCCACCCTGTGGTCCTGTGATCTCGCCCTGCCTCCACTTGCTTTGTGATATTTTATTACCTTGTGAAGTATGTGATCTCTGTGACCCACACCCTATTCGTGCACTCCCTCCCCTTTTGAAAATCGCTAATAAAAACTTGCTGGTTTTACAGCTCGGGGAACATCACGGATCCTGCCGACATGTGATGTCTCCCCCAGACACCCAGCTTTAAATTTCTCTCTCTTGTGCTCTTTCCCTTTATTTCTCAAACCAGCTGAGACACTTAGGAAATAGAAAAGAACCCATGTAATCATTAGGAGCGGGTTCTCCCAATAGGCACACACCTGTAGTCCTAGCTACTTGGGAAGTTGAGGTGGGAGGATCCCTTGAGCCCAGGAGTTTGAGGTTACAGTAAGCTATGATTGTGCCATTGCAGTCTAGACTGGATGATAGAGTGAGACCCTGTCTCTAAAAAAAAAAAAATTGTTAATAAAGAATTCATACTGACACTAACAAAAATAAACTTTAAAATGGTGGAGGTGAGTGGGGAAAAGTGAAACCTCTGCTTTACAGAATACCAATGAATAAATGTAGGAAGAATTTCTTAATCAGCCTTCAATAACCACTAGAATAATAACTGATTCAGGCAGCGATGATCAATAGATTATAAAACCTTTGGATGAAAGATTGTTGGAGAAAAGGATATTCATATATCTCAAAATATCATTAATAAAATAACAGGTTATTTATTAATTACAAAGGGAAAAGGTATAGTGAAGAAATCTGATGGGTACCCTTTTCAACCAGATAATCAAATTTGGCATCCCCAGTTATGTGAAATTGATATCACATCCCTCCTGATGTGATGCACTGGGAAGGATCCATCACCTACATATCCGTGGAATATTCCTGGTATCAACGAAAAGAGTCAAACTCTGTAAAATATTTGAAGAGATTTATTCTGAGTCAAATGTGAGTGACCATGGCCCATGACACAGCCCTCAGAAGGTCCTGAGAACATGTGCCCAGGGTGGTCAGGGTACAGCTTGGTTTTATATATTTTAGGGAGGCTTGAGACATCAATCAAATACATTTAAGAAATGCATTTATTGGTTTGGTTCAGAAAGGTGGGACAACTCAAAGGAGGGTCTTCCAGGCTACAGGTAAATTTAAACATTTTCTGGTTGATAATTGGTTGAGTTTATCTGAAGACCTGGGATTAATGGAAAGGAATGTTCAGGTTAAGATAAAGGAACGTGGGACCAAGTTTTTTTGTGCAGAGGAAGCTCTCAGACTTCACAGAGAGAGCAGGTTGTAAAATGTTTCTTATCAGACCTAAAAGGGTGCCTGGCTTTTAGTTGATTATCTCATGGATCTGGAAAGGAAGGAAAACAAAGGGGGAAGGGGATTCTGTATAGAATGTGGATTTTTCTCACAAGAGACTTCACAGGGCAATTTCAAGGCATGGCAAGGAAGTATATTTTGGGGTTAAATATTTTTTCCGTGTCTCATAGTGTTGTACTGGAGTCATATTGAAAAGCAAGTCACAATATACAGGGTCAAATAAAACCCATCTGATGAGAATCCATGGTTTGTAGGGCATGAATCCCCAGACCCCTTAGGTAGGAATTTGGGCAAGATAAAAAAAATCAGAGCTTAGTCCTCATTGGCAATGATGATTGGAGGAAATAGCAAAGTCCAAATTGAAAGACATTATGCAAAACAGCGTAAGTGCCCCCTCCACCCACACTCTATTCCTGTAGGAAAGGATACTTGATACTTCAAAAATGTCCATGTCATAAAAGACAAAAAAGGAAAGAGACAAAAAGAAACATTGTTGGGAGAATTAGGGAGATTTAGGGACTGTATATGTTATATAATAGTAATATATTTCTTGAGTGTAATAATTGTATTCTAGTTATATAGGAGGATGTTTTGTTCTTAGAAGATAGAATCTTTGGCCCGGTGCAGTGGCTCACGCCTGTAATCCCAGCATTTTGGGAGGCCGAGGCAGATGGATCACGAGGTCAGGAGATCGAGACTATCCTGGCTAACACGGTGAAACCTCGTCTCTACTAAAAAAAAAAAAAAATTAGCTGGGCATGGTGGCGGGTGGGTGCCTGTAGTCCCAGCTACTCGGGAGGCTGAGGCAGGAGAATGGCATGAACCTGGGAGATAGAGCTTGCAGTGAGCCAAGATTGCGCAACTGCACTCCAACCTGGGTGACAGAGCAAGACTCCATCTCAAAAAAACAAAAGGAGAATCTTAAATCTTTAGGGATGAAGTGTCATGATGTCTGCAACTAATTCTCAGATGGTTCAGGAAAAAATGTCTGTGTCTGTGGAGGAGGAGGGAGAAGGGAAATATGACAAAATATTAACAATTGGTTATCTAGATAAAGAGTATATAATAGTTGGTCATTGTACTTTTCTTGTGACTTTTAGGAAGATTTAAAATTTTTCCAAAGAAAGTTGAAGACAAATTTTAATTACAATAAAATTTAAAAATGAAATAACATTTATTCTGTCTTATTGCTTTAGGTGAAATCCTTAACCCTGTTTGTCACCCATTATCCGCCAGTTTGTGAGCTAGAAAAAAATTACTCACACCAGGTGGGGAATTACCACATGGGATTCTTGGTCAGCGAGGATGAGAGCAAACTGGATCCAGGTATAAAATATTCCTACAGTTGGTACAAATATTGGTTTTCATGTTTGATACCTCAAAGTTTGTTGGAACATGAACTTACTGCTTATTAATAATGAAAGCTGTGAATGTGAGCTGTAAATAACATTTGTCAGGATTCATTTTTGCTAAGCTTTAGGTCAAGTAGAATTTACATTTATCCATGCTATCTCTGAGTCCTTCTCTGGTCTTCCTTGTCTCATTTGTCGTGGCAGCCCTTTTCTCTTTTTTTACAGGAATAGGGTGTGGGTGGAGGGGGCACTTAGGTTTTCCTCTTAGTGCCTTGTACTCTTACATGATTCATCTCAGTATAGATGACAGTCAACTGCAGAATGTAATTAGTCATCTTTTAAAAATGCCCAATATTTTCCCCAAAATATCATTTAACTTACTAAGGGCCATATACTGTACTGGACATAGGTTTTTCTTTTAATATTATAAGGAAACTGAATCTCAGACAGGTAAAGTGGTTTGACCATGTCAACCACTTAGATGGGGGCTAAAATGAGCCTAGAATTCACTTCTGCTTCTGGGTACTCTTCTGTGCCCCTCTGCTAGAGCTGCTATGAAGGAAATCTACAATATTTTTCCTAGTCTTTCCAGTTACTGGTGTCACAGAAATGAGACATTTTATGAAAAAGAACACCGTTAGCCAATAGCAATAAATTTAAGTGCCGTAAGTAACATAGTAGACTTTAGCATTTTTTTTTTCTGTTCAGTAGTAATTGTTTTAAGCTACCAGCCTGTAGAACTGTGGTGGTTTGCGCAATTGGTATGCTACAATGGAAAATCCATCATGCAAGATATCCCAGAGTCCAAATTTTATTTTGGAAAAGTAATAGGGATGGACCTGAAAAAGAAATCAGGCAACTGGCCCAAATGAAACAAAGCACTGGCCCTAAGATAAATGTAATGTTAGGCAGTTCCTGCTTTTCACCACCATGCAGTCTTGAAAAACACATCATAAATTCTGTCATGGAGGTAGTTTTGTATCTATTAATCTGCATCCAGGGTGACTAGAGGAGACTTAAGCTAAAACCCTTGGGACAAGGAGAATAGAGTTCACCAATAGGGAAGAGGAGGAGTCAGTGCCACTAATAAGCATTTGATGTGAACTGAAAACTAACCCAGAACATTGTACCTTTCCCTTAAATGTTCTGGGCATTTTATTTTATTGATTTTAATTTTTGTGTTTTGTTGAGATGGGGCATCACTGTCATCCAGGCTGGAGTGCGGTGGCACGATCACAGCTCACTGCAGCCACAACCTCCCAGGCCCAGGTGATCCTCCCATGTCAGCCTCCCCAGTAGCTGGGACTACAGGCGCACACCACCATGCCTGGCTGATCTTTGTATGTTATGTAGAGACAGGCTCTCACTATGTTGCCCAGGCTAGTCTCAAACTCTTGAACTCAAGTGATCCTCCTGCCTTGACCTCCCAAAGCTAGGCTTACAGGGATGCGCTACCTTGCCTGGCTGATTTTAATTTTTATCAGTGAACATAATTTTTAAAATTCAGTGGTGCTAAAAGGCTCCAGCTGACAAGCTTCCTTCCCTCCAGTCCTTGTCCTTCCCCATCCTAGTCCCAAGGCAACTACTTTCAACACTTTTCCCCATTTCTGTTGTATTTCTAAGTAATATGCATATTTTCCTGTCCCTTGATTCATCAAGTTGACTATTGTCATTGTGTTAATTGAGAATCTTCAGTTTTCCCTTCCTCTGTCCTTCCAGTGTAGTCATTTCGCATTTATTGCATGTCATTCATATTTGTTATTTTCATTATTATTGCCATGCTAAGTATTGCTTACTGATGAGCCAAGTATGAGACAAGTACATTTCTTTTACAATGTTTTCTATTTTCTCAAAAATAAGAATTGACTGTCCTTATTTTTTCATTTTGTTTTGTTTTGTTTTTGAGTCTATAGCTGAATCTTCCTGTACCCTCCAATAGCTTCGTAAAATGCCTCTGTAGATGTTTTTCCACACAACTGAACCTACTGGTTCCCATTTGTCCCACTGGGGCTCTTCCTCCTGGAGCCCTTTGTCCTCCTGCTCATCTGAACTGGCTGCTATCTGGGCCTGCTACATAGCTGTCATCCCGAGCCTGCCTTGCCGGCATCCTAGGAGTTCCCTTACCCCTCTTCTAAGCATGTGATTTCAAGGAACGAAACACTCGGTCTCACACTGGCTCAGACAAAAGGATGCAGTTATGTATAATCCCATGTTCCATGAACTCCAGAGGAAGAGTGAGCTTCAGCGCCTCCTTTTTGCAATTCCCAGGCTCTGTCTTCCTGCCTGGCCGGTTTAATCACCAGTGGTTAATCACCAGGTTAATCACCTCGCCGGTTTAATCACTAGTGATAATGACTGCAGCCCTTCCTGGCATCATGTCCAGAATGTCCAAAGGAAGAAAAGAGACGAGCATTTCCTGTTAACTCTTTCTTAGAACAAGGGAACTTTTTCTCAGATGTCTTCCAGTATCTCACAATTGCCTCATCGCATTTTCAGAATTGAGTAACAGGCTCCTTCCTAAACCACTCCTTAGCAGAGGATGGCAGGGGCGACTTTGATGGGCCTAGGTGAATCAGGATCCACTTCTGGAGCTGGCTTTGAAGACCCAGTCCCCTGAGTTAAATGATTAGGGAGTTAATTCCTTATAAAATCAAGGTTTTCTTAGGGGTGGGATAAATGTTGAATTAGGCTACTACTAAGATCAACTAAAGGAGGTAAAAGTTTTGAGATTTTTCATGAATGAAAATGTTTCACATGCTTGTTGGCCATGTGTATGTTGTCTTTTGAAAAGTATCTGTACATATCTTTTGCCTACTTTTTAATGGGTTTGGTTTTTTATTATAAATGTATGTAAGTTCCTTGTAGGTGCTGAATATTAGATCTTTGTCAGATGCATAGTTTGCAAACATTTTCTCCCATTCTATACGTTGCCTGTTTACCCTGTTCATATTTTCTTATAAATGTATGTAAGTTCCTTGTAGATGCTGGATATTAGATCTTTGTCAGATGCATAGTTTGCAAACATTTTCTCCCATTCTGTACGTTGCCTGTTTACCCTGTTCATAGTTTCTTTTGCTATGCAAAAGCTCTATAGTTTAATTAGGTCCCATGTGTCAGTTTTTGCTTTTGTTGCAATTGCTTTTGGCCTCTTAGTCATGAAATCTTTGCCCATTCCTGTGTCCAGAATTGTAAAAGCAAAATATCACTGATTATTAGAGAAATGCAAATTAAAACCACAATGAGATACCTTCTCACACCAGTCAGATTAGCTATTATTAAAAAGTCAAAAAATAACAGGTGCTGGTGAGGTTGTGGAGAAAAAGGAATGCTTATACACTGGGTAAGAGTGTAAATTAGTTCAACCATTGTGGAAGACAATGTGTTGATTCCTCAAAGACCTAAAAACAGAATTACCATTCAACCCAGCAATCCTATTACTGTAATAGCAATCCTATTACAATTTATATACCCAGAGAAATATAAATTGTTGTGTCATAAAGACACATGCACACGTATGTTCATCGCAGCACTATTCACAGTAGTAAGACATGGAATCAACCTAAATGCCCATCAACGGTAGACTGGTTAAAGAAAATGTGGTACAAATACACCATGGAATACCATCCAGCCATAAAAAAGAGTAAGATCATATCCTTTGCAGGAATATGGATGAAGCTGGAGGTCATTTTCCTTAGCAAACTAATGCAGGAACAGAAAACCAAGTATTGCATGTTTTCACTTATAAGTGGGAGCTAAATGATGAAAACACATGGAAACATAGAGGGGAACAACACACACTGGGGCCTACTAGACGGGAGGGTGGGAGGAGGGAGAGGATCAGGAAAAATAACTAATCTATACAAGGCTTAATACCTGGGGGATTAAATAATCAGTACAGCAAACCTCTGTGACACAAGTTTACCTCTATAACAAACCTGCACATGTACCCCTGAACTTAAAAGTTTAAAAAATATATGTAGCTTCTATGTTCAAATTTATAGTTCAGCCAGGATTAGAATTTTAGATTGAAAACCATCTCACTCAGAATTTTGAAGCAGTGCTCCACTGCCTGCTGCCTTCCAGTATTGTTCCTGGCTATATCTGTGCTTCATCCATTACCTCTCCCCCAACTTCTCCTCTTCTGTATGAGGTAGAGGCCATTGCATAGGTCATCAGTAAAATGCCCCACAGGTCTTTTGGATGGCTTTTAAAATACTCTATTTCCCATGATGTGATAGGTAAAACAATGGACAAATAGTTAAGAAACCTGTATTTTAGTATATTCCAATCTGTATGATCTTGGACAAGTCACCTAACTTCACTCACCCCTAAATTTTTATGAATCTGTTCTAAAAGCAACTTTAGAAATTATTTGTCAGCATGTATCTCCTGAATAACTGCTTAGAGAAGTTTAGCTTAAATATAAATCTTGCTAAGTTTCCCTATAATAAACAGAAACATGAATTATTACTTCCACTGACTCAAAGCAGTGCCAGGTAAACATTTTAATAATGTCCGTTTAAGAAGTGGCCATAGCTTGTAAGTAATTACTTCCTAATCAAGAACTTTTGCTGTGAACCTGTAAAGAAACAGAGTTTTACTCATAAAACAAGTTTTATTCTCTCCCATGTGGCTTTTTCTGACTCCATATTTCCATCCTACCAGCACCCCAAACCCCTCTCCCGCACAGAGGGTAAAGGAGTACATAATTACAAAAAGAGATCCTCCAGGTGATTATGGAAGAGTGGTCACATTCTTTACCTTGAAGGTGTGAAAACTACCATAATGTAAAGTGGAGACCAGCACATAATGACACACTCAGCAACTGTTTGTGTGTTAACAAGGTATTCAGAGCAGTGAAATATTTTATGTAAGTCAGCTATATTTTGTAGCTATATTATACGTTATATAAGAACATTGTTACAACTATCTCTCGTGCACTCTCTATATATGTCTACATATATATACACACACACACACACACACACACTATTTGTATAAAAACAAAAAAAAATTAAAAGTCATAATAGGCCACGCATGGTGGCTCACGCCTGTAATCTCAGCACTTTGGGAGGCCAAAGTGTGGTCAGATCACCCAAGGTCAGGAGTTCGAGACCAGCCTGGTTAACCTGGAGAAACCCTGTCTCTACTAAAAATACAAAAATTAGCCGAGTGTGGTGGCACGAGCTACTCAGGAGGCTGAGGCAGGAGAATCACTTGAACCCGGGAGGCAGAGGTTGCGGTGAGCCGAGATCATGCCATTGCACTCCATCCTGAGCAACAAGAGCGAAACTTAGTCTCAAAAAAAAAAAAAAAAATTCATTAACAAATTTTTAGGTAGGGAGATTTTATGGCATTTATTAGGCTCTCAGAAAATACTGATGGCTAGCTGGATGGATAGATGGACAGAGAGACAGATGAATGAATCTTGTTTAGAAAGGTCAGCATGGGGTCTAGATTATATTGGAGAACTGGAGACGGGGAGATCAGTTAGGACTAACACAGTTGAAGTGATGAACTATTTTTCTGTCTTAAAGATAAGAAATGGCTTTTTTGATTGTCTGTTGCTTTTCACTTCAGTCTTAGTCTTGTGAACTTTGAAAAGTAACAAAAAGTTATCCAGGTTTGCGGGCACTGGCTTCTAGCTGCGTCTTCCCTAATCTGTTCCCACCTACTTCTGCACCTGTGTTCCTCAACTTTCATTTGGGGGCAAAAGGTACTCTCAGTGCCTTGTAACGGAAATTTGGGTCTGTGTTTCTGAGTGAGTTGGTGTTCTCTCCACCTCCTACTTCAGCACCCACCCTTAGAAAGCTCTTATCTGTCTGCTGCCGAATTCTTAGAGGAGGGCCAGGAAAAATCCATTGTCCTTTTTCTCTGTTGTGTTCAGTCTTTGGCTTTTTAAATTTTCACTGATAAAAGAAAAAAAGCATACACATCTATCAAATGAAATAATGATTGAGAAAAAGCTCTTAATAAACTCATAAGTATACTGGGATTGTAGAAATCTTTGTAACTCTGGCCCACCTTGGACATTTTTGCAGCACAATGCACATTTTGCAGCACAATTATATTGAATTTCATAATAAAAGTTACATAATATCCTGAGCTGCTTTAGCTTAAACTACATGCAGTGGTTTATTATAATTATTGTACTTCATTATATCCCAGTTCTTTCAAAGTTTTAAGTTCATGTGTATGTATATATGACAGGCTGGGTCCTCTAGGAAGCAGATTCTGAGATTTGCATTCAGGAGGTTCACTGGGAGTGCTGGGCTGTGTTATAGTCAAAAGGCTTCAGCCAGCCCTGCAGAGAACTCTGAGGCTAGAATCGTCCTTCAGAGTTACCTCAACTTGGGGTGAGGAGGATAGACCTCTATACCTTTATTAGTTATCTTTATTAATTTGGGGTAATTTGCAAACAGTGTGCAACAGATTACCCCCCAAAGCAGAGTGGCTTAGAACAACATTTATTACCTCATAGTTTCTGTGAGTCAGGAGTCCAGGGACAACTTAACCACACCTCTAAGGCTGAACGCTTTAGCTCTATGAGAGATCCTCTAGTTCGGTTCCTCACAGGGCTACAGTCAGTCACTGATCAGGGCAACAGCCATGTCAAGGCTTCCCAGCTCACATGTGGCTCTTGCCAAGCCTCCCAATATCTGCTTCCAAGCCCACTCATGCTGCTGTTGGCATGCCTCAGGCTCTCGCCGACTGTTGGTGGGAGACATCAGTTTTTTCCATGTGAGCAGCTCCATAGACAGCCCACAACATGGCGGCTGGCTTCCCTCGGAGCAGGCAGGCAACAAAGTGAGCGTACCCAAGTCAGAAGCCACAATCTTTCTGTAACCTAATCTCTGAAGTGATATCTCATCACTTTTGCCGTATTCTGTTCATTAAAAGTGAGTCACTGGTTGGGAACGACACAAGCACGTGAACACCAGCAGGCAGAGGTCTTTGGTGGCCATCTTCGAGGCTACCTACAACAACCAGTCACTGGCTGCAGGCTGCCCCAAAGCGAGGTGTGGTCTTGAGCGAAGCCCCCCCTTCAGCTGCAACAATTTCCAAAGAAGGCAAACAGTCGAGGGTTGCAGGCCAACAATCTGTCTGACAGCTGAGGGAATAAACTCTTTAGTCTTAAGAGGGATCTGGGTGGTACTGAACAGAATCCAGTATGTATAGCTCTTAGTTAAACTGAATATTTAATAAACCAGAACATCTCAATCCTGTTATTTAAACTGACCAACATGTAATATTTTCTTACCTGTTTTTAAGGGAGAAATTATAGGCCTGGCACTGTGGTTCATGCCTATAATCCCAGCACTTTGGGAGGCCGAGGTGGGCGGACCACTTGTGCCCAGAAGTTCGAGAGCAGCCTGGGCAACATGGCAAAACCCCATCTCTTAAAGAAAAAAAAAAAATTAGCTAGGCATGGTAGTATGCACCTGTAGTTTCAGCTACTCTGGAGGCTGAAATGGGATAATCACCTTGAACCTGGAAAGTTGAGACTGCCAGTGAGCTGAGATTGTGCCACTGAACTCCAGCTTGGGCAAGCAAGTTAGACCCTGTCTCAGAAACATAAAAAGGAGAAATTATATTGTATCAACCACATACTAAGATCATTCTCATCCCAGCGCAGTGGCTCACACCTGTAATCCCAACACTTTGAGAGGCCAAGGAGGGAGGATTGTTTAAAGCCAAGGAGTTCAAGACCAGCCTGAGCAACAGAGCAAGACCCGATCTCTACAAAAAATATTAAAAAATTAGCTGAGTGTGGTGGCATGAACCTGTAGTCCTAGCTACTTAGGAGGCTAGGCAGGAGGATTGCTTGAGCCCAGGAGTTTGATGTTACAGTAAGGTATGATCATGCCACTGCACTCCAGCCTAGGTGATAGAGCGAGACCCTATCTCTAAAAAAGTAAATAAATAAAATCATTCTCTTTTTAATATAGATGTTCAGTTCAAATTTGCAATGAATCATTTTTGAAAACTATTTTAAGTGAGCTAAAAGATCCTATATGCACACAGCAGTTTCAAAACAGTATTTACCCTTTTCTTGACATATCAAATTAATAAATGGATCTAACAGGCAAGTAGGAATAGTGATTTCAGATTGTATGATTTAATAAAGTTATGAGAATGTACATGTCCTTTTTAATCCTATAATTTATTTCAGCATTCGGGCACGGATTTGATCTCCTTTCTTTATTTCGCAGGCGAAGAACAAGTCCCTGATTTTGTCACCTTCCTTTACCAAATAACTAGAGGAATTGCAGCAAGGAGTTATGGATTAAATGTGGCTAAACTAGCAGATGTTCCTGGAGAAATTTTGAAGAAAGCAGCTCACAAGTCAAAAGAGCTGGAAGGATTAATAAATACGAAAAGGTCAGAATGATTATGCTACATGTTTTTCATTTGTAATGAAACCTAAGTTGTCCAAGAAAGAGGAGTGTCCTAAAAATGAACATCAGATCTCCTTTTAAGCACCTCTTCAAATATTCTGAACCATTTAATTATGATGAAGTGAAAACAGCTCTTGCAAAGCTCAGGTGAATTTAGTGCATCTTCATTAGATCATTAAGTTACTGAATTGGTTTTTCAGTCATTTTTATAAAGAATTAAGTTAATTCCTTAATATGTGCCACATTGGTTACTTTAAAGATTCAATTATGCCAAAGGTTACTGAAGATATTGAGAACCTACAGAAAATTTATTTTATTCATAGATTTTATTCAGATATGCAACAATTACATCCAGAAATTCTATCAGAATATTAATGAAATAGTACTACATAACAGGCAATCATAGTCAGTATCCACATGTCACTTATTTTGTAGACTGTGACAAATTTTTCATTCTAAACAGGCTTCTGTCACTTTAAATGCTTATGGGAATACTTTCCACCTTTACCCTTGCTATCCAGCTAGTATGTAGTCAGTACATAAATTAATCTTAATGTAAACCTGAGATACACTTTGAAAGAAAGATATTCCTAGGGAAATATCATATTCGTAAATTACACCCTTTTGTTTCCCAAATATAAAATTCTGAAACAACATAAGCTCCCCATCCACCTACTGCCCCACCCCTGCCATACTTGGGGAGCCTGATGTGCTGGGTACATTAGTACCCTGGTTGATAACCATATGACCATGATGAACAGATTGTTGATCGAATAGAAAATCTTGGCTGGCTACTGGTGGTTCCTATGTTATACTCCAAGAATATTCTTTAATATTTGGTAATAATTCTAGGAATTATTACCAAATTTCAATATTGAAATAGTAATGCCTATCATACTAGCTAAAGAAACAGTTGCTAACTTGTTTACAGTAGTGCAATTAACTTCTCTTTCTCTACCTCCTTCTCCTGTGCTTCCACCTTGCACTCCTCCACTTTGGTGTACTATAGTTGACCAAGTCCAGAGTGCTGGGCTCTACAAATGGCACACAGCCTCCTCTAGTGACACTCTTTTCTGGCTCATTTCCAAATCACAATGCCAAAACAGAAGCAAAGTGGCATAATCAGTTTCAGCCTATTTCTGTTACAAGCCAGATTAATATAAAATTTTTCCTGAGGGAAAATTATCTATGAGAATTAAAAAATAATGTTAGCCCTCTTCCTCTGCAAAGTCCGGAGACAAATTAAACTCTCTTTAGTTGCCATATTATTATTGTTCTTTTTCTCTGAAAAAAAAACCTAGAATAAAGCTTTACTACAAAGGATATATATATACAAGATAGCAATAAACTATGTCAGTTTCTAAATTTGCTATAGAAATATATGCAAGCTAGCAATAAAATATGGCAATTTCTATATTTTCATATATTCTTGTTTCTGCTATATAGCCTACAAAGCAAGAGCAAAAACATTCACAGATTACTCATAACTCTTCCAACTAGTAAGTGACATTTTGAAATCTATGAAGTTATCTTGACAAGATGAGAGAATTATTAGATGTTGCTTTGGGATAGAATCTGATCATTTATCAAGATACTGTATTTGTTGTTTTACCTTTTTTCTAAAAGTGCTTATCACATCAATTCCTTTGGCCAGATCAAAGAAATCAAACTGAATCTTGGGCCTTAGTGTGTATTTGTTATAATAGTTGCTATTTATTGGATGGTTACTGTGTGTAGAAACCATTCTGAGCAGTCATTTGCAGCAGCCTAGACACTGTGCCAGCTACTCTTCTCATCGCTTTACATACATTATCTCATTTCATCCTTATGGCAGCCTTATCCTCATGGTCTAGTTGGGGAAAGTGAGGCCAGCAAGGACAGGACACTGACCCAGAGTCACACAGCTCGTTGATGGTGGAGCAGTAATTGGAACTCAGATACTCTAGCTCCATACCCTAAATACTCAATTGGGTTGCTATTCTGCAGGGAAAAAAAAGTAAGTCTGTGTTATGCTGGCGTTTTACTCTTTAATTAGCTTCATTGTCTTCGGTTGGTGTTACTTTTCATCCTGGGAACACTTCACAGGAGTTTCTTGTCTCCAGGTGCAAATAAGCACACACCACCAGCCTCTAGCAGAGTTTGAAGGAGGAGGAGGTCAGGTTCTCCCCTCTGGGGCTGACAGGGGTAAGGATTTTAGGAGAAAGCACAAAGGCAATAGTGGCAATTGGTAACCTGGGTCCTTTGATTATAGTAGCAGCTCTGAAAGCTCCTTTCACCAGAAGGGTGACACTGACACAGCTTCCTAACTATAGAGCCTGCCCAGTATTCAAATGTTGCAGACTTTTCATAGCTTCTGATGAGACGTATTGTCTCCCAGCAATTTCATTTATTAAATAGTATTTTATTTTTCCCCAGGAAGAGACTCAAGTATTTTGCAAAGTTATGGACGATGCATAATGCACAAGACCTGCAGAAGTGGACAGAGGAGTTCGAAATGGAAGAAACACAGACTTCTCTTCCTCATTAAAATAAAGACTTACATTTGTGAACAAAAAATGGAGAATTAAAAATACCAACTGTACAAAATAACTCTCCAGTAACAGCCTATGTTTGTGTGACATGTGAGCATAAAATTATGACCATGGTGCATTCCTACTGGAAACAGAGAGGTTTTTCTGAAGACAGTCTTTTTCAGGTTCCTGTCTTCCTAACTTTTCTAAGTATAAACACTCTTGAATAGACTTCCACTTTGTAATTAGAAAATTTCATGGATAGTAAGTCCAGTAAAGCCTTAAGTGGCAGAATATAATTCCCAAGCTTTTGGAGGGTGATATAAAAATTTACTTCATATTTTTATTTGTTTCAGTTCAGATAATTGGCAGCTGGGTGAATCTGGCAGGAATCTCTCCATTTGAACTAAAATAATTTTATTAGGCAGCCAGTTTATCCACCAAGAACATAAGAATTTTTTATAAGAAATAGAAAGAATTGGCCAGGCATGGTGGCTCACGCCTGTAATCCCAGCACTTTGGGAGGCCAAGGCGGGCAGATCACCTGAGGTCATGAGTTCAAGACCAGCCTGGCCAACATGGCAAAACCCCATCTCTACTAAAAATATAAAGTACATCTCTACTAAAAATACAAAAACAGTCGCGCATGGTGGCGCACGCCTGTAGTCCCAGCTACTCGGGAGGCTGAGGCAGGAGAATCTCTTGAACCTGGGAGGTGGAGATTGCAGTAAGCTGAGATCACGTGACTGCATTCCAGCCTGGGCAATATAGTGAGATTCCATCTCAAAAAAAAGAGGAAAGAAATAGAATTATCACGCTTTTAAAAACTAGGGCATAGAAAGAATAAGGTCATGAAATTTAAAATATTAAATATTGTCACAGGATTAAGCAGTTTAAAGACTGTTGGATGAAATTATTTGTCATTTGTTTGAGTAATAAATATTTAATGAATACTTGCTATAGATGATGGTATGTCCCATTGAATTTTGGTGTTTTCAAGTGTTTGGAAATTGTCATTTTTTTAGGTGTAATTATGAAATTACAGTTACTGCTTTGATCAGCGCAATACACGGAAGTGAACTTATTCATTTGGGACCTTGCTATTCATCAACATACCAAGTGTATGATCTTCCCAGTAATGAGCCTTACAGCTTAGTTGATTCATAACAGTGCTCCCTTCCTGCAAATTTAGGGTAACACGTGCTCAACTGTGTCCCTGGGTTTTTTACAGCACTTACAATCTGGCTTCCCAGATCCATGTGTTCTTTTTGTTTCTAAATATATGATCTTGCACAAAAGCTCTCCATCCTATTTTCCTCTCTTTTATTATTTCTGCTCAGTTAAATGTCTTCCCCACATTTGATGGACATATTTTTCATTCCTTCTTCTGCATTATTACCTTCAGTGATCCCAGCAATGACCCCAGACACAGGAGTCAATACAGTATCCCCAGGTTGTGGCTTCACTTTTGAGTCAGTCACTCTTTAGCTATCAGACTCCCAACCTTATTGGAGTTAGAGTATGATGTAGTTTGATTCTACCACCCCTCCAGAGATACTAATGTATAGTCAAATTCTCAAAACTGTCAAAATAGAGTTAGTTGGAATGTATGCTTTAACTTTTAAAAAGAACAAAATTGTTTCAATACTCTATATAACTGTAAATGTCTTATATTCTTTCTAACAAGATTTCAAAGATAGTGCTGTAACCTCACCTCACAGGGAGAAAAGGAGATGACTCCAGGAATGTGATGCCCATGCCAGAGGGAGCTGCAGGGACCAGCAATCACTGGTAATGTCCAGGTGGACATCTGGAGCCACCTCTCCCTCTTGCTTGGTCCAGGCCAGCATCAACGCTGAAGCAGGTAGGGGTTCCAGGAGCATTGTGTCCTGGCAGTGGCAGCACACAGTGTGTGGCAGCTGACAGCGTAGAACTTTACAGGGTAGATTCTCCAGCATGAGCAGGACGCCAGCCAGGCCGCCAGCTTGCGGAAGCGCAGGCCTCCTCTAAGCTGGGGAAGAGATCAGCACCGCTGAACAGCATTTCTAAGTGAGGCTCATCCCCAGCTGGGTTACTGAGATATTGGAGGAAACGTTGAGGCCAAATCCCAGTCATAAAGACTGCATAAATGCCATGGGGAGGTAGGCAGAAAGTTGCAAACAATTGTGTTTGTATTTCAGATGACCATCTTGGGGCTGCAATTCTAAGGTTAGATATAACCACACAGGTGAGAATAGGGCTGCTGGTGCATGGCAAGGGCCCTTCAGATTCCCTCTGGTACTGCATAGGCATGAGCATACTTCAGATGGAGACTGGGGGAGACAGGGCTGACTGGTGGCCAAATGTCAAGGAAAGCAACTTTTGAATATGATGTATTCCTTTAAGTGACTTGTCTGTTTTTAGCCATCAAATTACAAATTAAGAGCTAGTGATTCTGCAATAATACACACCAATTCCTCGAAAACCTTCTAAAGTCAGACCAGTTTAATAATTCCAACCTTAGGGGAAAAAAAGCCAAACACATTTTAACAAGTTTCAACTTTGACCTTTCTGTTGCTTCATCTCTTCTCAGTGCTGTCTATTCTATATAGTTTTTAAAATATTCTTATTATATAACTAGTATAACAATATTTGAAAATTCATGGGACTATAATTTATAATTTAAAAAGAGAAAGGAAAAATGAGTTTTCAAAATTAAATTTTATAAGTTAAAAAGAAATTTAAAGGCTAGGTGTGGTTGCTCACACCTGTAATCCTAGCACTTTGGGAGGTCGAGGCGGGCAGATTGCCTGAGCTCAGGAGTTCAAGATCAGCATGGGCAACACGGTGAAACCCCGTCTCTACTAAAATACAAAAAATTAGCCAGACGTGGTGGCGGACATCTGTAGTCCCAGCTACTCGGGAGGCTGAGGCAGGAGAATTGCTTGAACCCTGAAGACGGAGTTTGCAGTGAGCAAAGGTCATTCCACTGTGCTCCACCCTGGGTGACAGAGCAAGACTCCGTCTCCAAAAAAAAAATTTAAAGGAAAAAAAATGTAAAAACCTAAGCATTTGAGTTACTCAGTTTGTCTCAATGTTTCTCAGTGCTGAATATGAAAATCAAATGATTCCCATTTGAATCATAGTCTTCTGGACTGAGATCCAAGCTTAGTATTCTTTTATCAGCTTTATTGACATAGTTTACATACTGCACAATTTATTTAGAGTGAATAATTCAGTGGGTTTTTGTGTATTCACAAGCTTGTACAACTGTCACTACAATCAATTTTAGAACATTCTTACTACCCTAAAAAGAAACCCTGTACCTATTAACTGTCAGTCGCCTTTCCTCCCCAAGATCCTCAGCCCTGGACAACCCCTAATCTTCATTCTGTCTCTATAGATTTGCCTATTTTGGACATTTCCTATGAATGGAACCATAGAATATGTGGTCTTTTGTGTCTGGTTTTTTTCACTTAGATGCAAGATTCATCTGTGTATCAGAACTTCATTCTCTTTAACTGGTAAAAAGTATTCCATTTTATGTATACTTACATTTTAATTTATCCATTCATTAGTTGACACACATTTGGATTGTTTCTATTGCTAGCTATTATGAGTAATGCTACCATGAATATTTGTGTACAGGTTTTTATGTGACGAGGCATAATGTTTTTTAAAAAGCTCCCCTAGTATTTCTGATGTGCAGTCAGGTTTGTGAACCATTAGTCTCAAAGATGACAAATGACTAAACAATATTTTTAACTGAGTTGACAATCATTTGGTCTGTCTGTCCTCTGCTTTATCTGTCACTTAGGGCAGAGCATGGCATACTATCGACCCTAATTAATATATGTTAAAATGGAAAAGTAAAACCAAACTCCTTCAGCTTAGAAACCCAATGAAAAGATGTTTCTTTTCATAATGAAGGCACCATTTCACTAGGGATTCAAGATCCATACAGATGTGTGCTGTATCTTTAGAAAAAAATAAAAACTGTTTCAGACAATTTGTCCAAGTTTGTGACTGTTGTCATCATGGTGATGGTGATGGGGCTGGTGAAACACTGCCCACTGCATGAATTCCAGAGTAAAAACTAGACTGAATCCAAAATGTTCTGCAAATTAATGTTGACCTTTATTGAGTTCTGAGATGAATATTAATTACTGCTGTGCTTTGTAATTATAAAAGGGCTATTTGATGTTTCACACCAAGGATATGGGTGGAGAGAGAAAAGAACTTGTATTAACACCATCTGTGGTTTCTAACTTTGTAATTAAGGCCAATTCCTCTGTGGAACATTGTAGTTATTATATATCATGATTATTTGGTTTATTAATATCCAGGGAAGTACCACAGTTTGAGAGCCATTCATTCTGGTTTACTTGGGAAGTCCTATTCTATACCTGTTTTGCTGGTATAATTATTAAAAAGCTTCTTTAACTCAGAAGTTTCCTGTTTTGGATAATAACTTATACAGTTACCCCAATTATAGGTGCTATTCCATAAGCACAGTTACTGACTTGCTACATTTTGAATGTCATCTAAAAAAAAAAAAATCATTTTTTTTCTTACCCATTGGGTGAACCAGTTTTTCCCCCAAAGACCTGCCAGTTGTTTTTGCCTGTTCTTGATAAGTGCTTTGTATTGTGGCATTTAGAGGCTACAGCTCTGCTAATTGGTGTGTTAGAGCTTTACTACTTAATCTGTTCTTGAGGCTAAATCCCCGAAGATAACATGTCATCTGCCTTGTCTCCATGAAATCATGGTGAGGAATGTGCACCTACATACTTTGGGAGACACACGACAAGACTGTCTTCCTGCAGAAATAGTTATTCCTCAGGAGGAGGAATTGCCTCTAGTTCTTTTGTCCTTTGCTCAGATCCTCTCTTCATTGCCTTTGACTATCTTTTTTTTATTTTTTTGACAAAAGGGTATTTTGTTTTCACATAAGAAGAGAAATACTCTTTGCCATCTTCACCTCTTTTTCAGCTTCAAGCCCCTTATTCTTAATCCTACTTCCAGAAAGCTCGCTTTTGGAGGTAGGAATGTCTTGCCCTCTATCAGAAGGACCAAAGGAGTTTCTTAAATGTAGATTTC